ATCAGGGAAATGCAAATTAAAACCACAATGACATATCATCTCACATCAGCTAGAAGCTAGAAAGGCCACTATCTAAAAGATAAGAAGTAACAAGTGTTGGCAAGGATGTGGAGAAAAAGGAACTATCCTATACTATTGGTGAGAATGTCAGTTGGTGCAGCCACTGTGGAAAGCAGTGTGGACCCTCAAAAAAACTAAAAATAGAAATACTGTATGACCCAGTTATTCCACTTCTAGGCATTTACCCAAAGAAAACAAAATATCTTATTCTACAAGATATGTGCACTGCTATGTTAATTGCCACATTATTTACAATAGCCAAGGTATGGAAGCATCCAGACAGTCCAACAATTGATGAATGAATAAAGAAGATGTTGTACATATACACAATGGAATATTATTCAGCCATAAAAAGAATATAAATCCTGCCATTTGCAACAACATGGATGGATCTAAATGATATTATGCCCAGTGAAGTAAGCCAGGTGGAGAAAGACAAATACCATATGATTTTACTTATTTGTGGAATCTGCAAAGAAAACAGAATAAAATAAACAAAATAGCAGTAGACTCATAGACCCACCAAGAAGTGATTAGTGGTTATCATGGGAGAGGAACTGGAGTGGGTGGCTGGGGTGAGTGAGGGGGATAAAGGGGCACAAAAATTCTCATTCATAATATAAGTTGGTCACGGGGACGGTAGTACAGCCTGCAGAATATAGCCAATGATACTGTAACATCTTTCTGTGTTGACAGATAGTAACTGCTCTAGTTGGAGTAAGTATTCAATAATATGGGTAACTATTGAGCCACTGTTTTGTATACTTGAAACCAATATAAGATTGTATATCTACTATACTTCAATAAAAAAATGAACTTAGATGTTTAATACCAAAGCTAAAATGAAAATTTGTTTCTTCCTAAACTGTTCTGCTGAATGTCCCATTAGCTAAAGAGAAATTATATTAAGATGCCAGTGTGTTAAAATGTAGGTTTAATCCCTAGTTGAAGGTTAGCAAACTTTGAACCCTATCATTACTCTTCCAACCATGCCCTTCTGGACAATGGCTTGCATCCAGACAGATCATTCTAAGCAATACACAGACATTCTTATTATATACTCTGAGCGCTTTCTGACCCTTGTTAGCAAAGAGGCCCGTCAAGATGGAAAAACTCAGCAAAGTACACAGTATGTGCACTGTAGTAGTGTTTAATGCAGGGTGCATCCTGTCTCAGCCTCTCAAAGCTACAATTCACATAAAATGTAGGTAGAGGTGAGTGTGCAGCAGGAACCCTTCTGATGGGTGACAATTGGCTGGGAGGAGGACTACAAAGCCCACTTCAGACAACAGCCCATGTTCTCAGATGAGGGCAGCAGGCTCTGACCTGAAAGTTACCTGTAACTTATCTATGACTTGGAATTGGCTTTCAGGCCTCCTGTAGTGATCCAGAGCAGTTCTTGCTCTCTTTGCTTAGGGAGCTAGGTATGAGTATTTCTTTGCAGTTAACAAATTAACAGCCTAGAATATACAGAATTTTTGCTTGATTATTTGGTTTTTTAAACAGATGCTCTGTCAGTTTCCAAAACTGAGAGTCATTCTATTAGTTACCCTGATTAAATTTTCTTTTTTCTGTCAATCTACAAAGAGAGAAAAGGTGAAACTTTTTCCTTTTAAAAAATCAAATCTTTCTGTCATTATTTCTAATATTCAGTATTTATCCAAATTAATCATAATGCTTGTTTTTACTGCTCCCTATTTGGGCTTGTGTTAAATAAAACTTTCTCTAGCATCTATTAATAAAACTCCTTGGGTGACTTCCAAGATGTCTCTGTAATATAAAATCCCATGCTATCTGTATTTTGAACAAGTTTAGAATGAATTCTGTATAATGCATTGGAAATAAAGTATGTGTTGTCATTCTAAAGCTATGTTCCAGGAAAACACTTTGTAGTGGATTTCTCATTCAACTTGATCATTCCATATCTTAAAAAGGGATAATTCAGGTATTATTTCATATATTGGCAAAGGCATTAGCTTTACAAAAATGAATTTTAAAATACTTGTCATATCGGTCAAGTCAGAATACAGGATACAGAATCAGAAAGTGAGGGGAATTCAAAACCTTCTCACTGGACCCCCTGTATCAGATCCTTTCTTGTCCCTATCCCTACACTATTTCAGTTGCCAAATCCTGTCCATCCCAAGTTTATGAAAACTGCAGTGCCAACCCACCGAGCAGCATCCTTCAGTCTTCTACCCAGACTCTTGTGTTCTGCATGGCCCCTGCCAATTCCTTGTCTTATCACTCACCCCTGACTCCAGATTTGAAGATGGCCTTTGGAGTAATGACTAAGGATCAGTACTATGACTTCCCTTTCAATGAGTTTGTGAATTTAGCATTTTATAAATGAGAAATGACATTGGATTGTTGAGTTTAAAGCTGCAAAATTTGAAATACACCATTGGTACCAGCTGATCTCTTATTGTTTCTTTGGTCTAAAACTTCTCCATGATTAAATGCATTCATGCATGCAAAATGAAAACAAGGCAAATAACAGTAGATGCCTACACTATGCCAGGCTCTGCACTTGACACTGGTCAAAAATGGGACAGTCCCTTAGTTAAGGGAACTATAGGAAAAAGTCAACTTAGTCAATAATTATAGAAGAGTAGTGACAGTCATATAATCACTGTTTATAAGATAGTGCTATAGGGGCTCTCTTGTCTCCTCCTGGTGTGAGCCAGGAGCTCTGTCCTCTCGCTTTATCTCTAAATAAAAGCCTTTGTCTTGCTCACCTAAAAAAAAAAAAAAGATAGTGCTATAATAATAACAACAAAACAATAACAGTTACGATGAAGCTAATATAATTGAATGTTTGCTCCTGATTCAATGTGTGCTTACATGCTTTATCTAATTTAACCTTTTTAGCCACCCTATGTAGCAGGTACAGTTATTATCCCCACTTTACTGATAAGGAAACTCAGACATGAAAGGTTAAGGAATTTGTCCAAAATGACAATTATAAAGTAGTGGGCCCAGGATTTGAATCCAGTTTGTGGTTAGAGTGCAGTTCTAACCTCAAAGGCCTATTCTAATCTCTCTGCCTCCAACTGCTGCAGTAGAGGCAGGCTCACCCCCAACCCCTTTACAGTTCTTCACTTGAAACTAGAGACCCATGAGTGGAGTTTTGAAAATGAAAGTCAGTAACAAAATATTTGAAACAGTGGTAATGTTAGAACCAAACCCTTTTCATTCACCAAAGTTTCAGTAAAAGGTAAAGTTCTTGAATGTAGAATTTCAGGAAGCAAGTTCAGGGATAGATAGGTTTTCTGAGATCCCATATTGAGTACCAAGTTAGTGGTCTTCTTTTCCTACCGTTTTATTTTACAAACAAATTCATAAATCAAAGAATAAAGCACATTTATTTTCACTGGGAAAAGCAGAATTATTTCAAGATAATTAAGTGAAGCTGTTACAAGCCGAGTCTAGTATATAAATCCATTTGATGAGGTGTTATTGTATGGATTGAATGTGAAGAATAAAGGAATTGAAGGTCACGATGAGGAATGCTCTAGAAAGAAAATCAGAATGTCATCTTTAGTCTTGGCTACATTGCTGCTATGAGAGAGACAGAGAAAAAACAGGAGGAGGAGGGGGAGGGAGAGGGAGAGGGAAGGAGAAAAAGAAGGAACGAAGCACACCACCACAGGGGCTTTTAGCCTCAGGAATATCTTTTCTATGGCCCATTTTCAAGCCTGCCTCTCCTTGCAACTTACATTATAGACTCTGAATCCTTTTCCTGTTCTTCCAGCTTTCAATTAATTTTTGCCTTTTACCAATTTTTGGTTCTTCTAGAATATGATCATCAAAAATAAAACAAGATAATGAAATTGATCCCTCTTTTTTCCCCCATGCTACAGCATGTGGCCAAGACTGGGACAGCAGCTATTGACTAAAGGAAACTGGGCATGCCACAGGTGCACTGTATTACTTTTATCCATCTGTGCCTCTGTTTCTCCACTTTGACTGTCAAATCCTTGATGGCAAGGACCATGTTTTCGTTTCTCTTACCCCAATTTGGAGCTCAACGTTTGATACAGAGAAGCATACAAGAAACTACTAGTTGAATGAAAGAATGAATAAATGAATGAAAGGAACAATAGAAATAGCAACACTCATGTTGTTACTTTACTCTCCCCTCATAATTACTAGAGGGACTACTTCCAGTGTAACCATTCAAGAGAGTCCAGAAATAGTTTTCCAAAGATATATGTAAATTCTTATATAAACCATTATTTTCTTTTTCTCCCCCCTCCCCCCCACAAATCTCTGTGAATTATCAAGCAAGTACTTGGGGAAGCAGAATGTTATATATATATATATATATATAATATAAACCTGTTTGGTTTTTTGGTTTTGCTTTCAGATTAGTTGTGAAAGAATAGAATGCTATACTATTCCTTTCCATAGAGGTATAATCTGATTTTGCAAAGAAAGTTCCAAAGTTAGTAACAATTCTTACTGGGAAGACAGTGTCTGAATTGGATTAAGGTAGAACAGGAGTGCCCAGTGCAGGGAAGAGTTTGGTGTTTCTGGCTTCATACAGCATTAAATGGAATGTCTGTATTTCTTCTGGGTTTAATGAAGCCATAACCAGCCAACTCATTGTTGAGTGATGTTGGACATTTTTTGCTTTTAACTTGATGTTTTAATTTGTGCTTATCTAGTCCTCCCACGTCAGCTGCTTAGACTGGCACATTAGGGACAATTAGCCAAGTGTTCCTCTGTGTTAGCTCCAGAGTGGAGAAAAACAGACAAGGAGAATCGATGAGAGCAACCAGCCAGGAAGAGAACATTGACTCTCCATCAAGAGCGCTGGCCAACTCGTCCAGCTGCCTGTGCTGAGAAGCAGCAGCTCTGCTCTTTCCCTCGGCGCCTTGTTAAGGTTTAAGTGGCTCAGCCATGGCTGCTAAATGACTTTGCTGTTGTGTGTTTAGTTTTCAGGACTTTATCTCCTGTCTTTCTTCACCATCCTCATCGGGCTGGTGCTCTACTCCTCCACCTCCACATACATAGCCCAGGACCCCCGGGTCTACAAGCAGTTCCGCAATCCTTCCGCACCTGTTGTGGACTTACCGAGCTCATCCCAGGTGGAGCCTTCGGTCACCTACACCAGCCTGGGCCAGGAGACTGAGGAGGAGCCCCGCGTTCGTGTGGCCTAGGAGGAGGCCCTACCTACTCACTGGGCACAACTCAGTGGCCATTTGTTTGCCCATCATCTCTGTATTGTACATAGAGAAAGGTATTTCTTAGGTGCGGTTTACGCAAGTGGACTGCAAGGTAGCAAATACTGAAGCTTGTAAGAGGCACAAGCTAAACATCACTGGAGGCACAGGCTCCAACGACCTGATTTGGAGAGACGCCTAGCTAGTGCATAAGCTGATCACAATGCCCTGCATTAATTCCTGTGAAAATTTTTGAACCAGAAGCAAGTATTATTATTATTACTTGTATTATTATTGTTACTGTTATTACACTGACTTTCAGGGGGATGTTTTGTACTCCTGATGAGAACTATTGCCAGACCCACATGTAGTTAACATAAATCCCACTTTTCTACAGCAAGTCACTTTTTAAGAATCATACTTTATTTTTTTGCACAGTCTATCTGAGTGCTGCATGCCACTGGAGCTCCACCCCTGAGAAGTTTCCTTACCCTAGGGACCTGGTGGCTAATGTTTTCCTCTGTTACCTGCTGGATCGCCTGCTCGCTAAGTATTTTGTGCTGTGACCCTTGTGGGGAGGGGCAACTGAACATATGATTCTCTATTCTAGGAATAGACATAAAACAAACATTTCAGCCTTTTTATATTTCAATCTCTGATTACTCCAGGCCATTGCCTTTCTGTTGTGCCATGTGATTCTGCTAATCAAGTTCCTGTAATAACAGGATAAGGAGTGTTTCATTTCTGTGGCTCATTGGAAACTCCAGAAGTAATATCATTTGTGTTTAGGGTAATGTATATACATCTTTTTTTCAATCTTTCTGCCCCTCCCTCTCCTCTCTTCAAAAAATATATTCGATTTTCCTTTTTTTCTAGATTTCTTTAGCGATAATGTGGAAATTAATCAAGGCATTAGGAAAAGCTACGGTCCTCTGCTCTTTTCATTGTGTGATACCCTTTTTGAAATACGCCAGTGTGGCAGTTATATTTATTGTGGAGTTATCATTGGTGAGGCATCCCAGCAAAGTCAAGTTGCTGATATGGAGCCATCTCTGACAATAGCTCGATTTGTCTGGCCATTTTGTAGGAGTAAAGGAATCACCTGTGAAAAAATCTGGTCTTTTGGTTATATTTGGCATCCATTCAATAGCAGAATATATCAATATAACATTCTTATGGATACAGAAAATATTACAGTGTCCTGATAAGGCTTTGAGGGAAATGTCACCAGTCTAATTTTGTTGCCCTTAAAATAGCCCTTTTTCAAACACAGGAAATGAAAAAATACCACAGGCCTCTATGATTTAAAATAGATTCTACATGTCAGTATGTGAAACCACCTTTAAATTTGGCTGGCTTCAGTACCATTCATAAAGACCCCACCCCCTTGGAGTTACAGAGTTTGTATAGGAAAAATAACTGTTTATGAAACTTAGGGCAATTCAAATCATTACATCTTAAGCAAGCACAGCAAAAGAGCGGAGGGGACCCTGAAAAGTAGAACAGATTGCCACTTAGTCGGGACTCCCACATCGCCTGAACAAGGCCTAAGTCCACAGGCAAAAGCATCCTATACCGTCAGTCGTCACCATGTGGCCCCTTTGCTGCCTTCTGCCCAGGGTGGGTGGTCTTGCCCTTGGAGACGGGAAAGAAAATTATCTTCTATGATATGCAGATTTTATGGTCATCCCTGTTCAGTCCCCTTAAAAAAGTTTTATTTTCTGTGGGGAAAAAAAAAATCCATGTTAAAGCTGTATCAAGTCAAAATCACTTTGCCAATGTCTACTCTCTGCTACCTTGTAAGCCAATTAAATACCTTTCTCTGAAAATTTTGTCCATTCAGATCAGAAGACCTTTAAAGACTGTGGTTTTATTTTTGTGTTTACATTCCTTTGTTTTGCATAATTTGCTTGATTTATTGCATTTTTAGTATTTATTTTAAGCCAAATGTTTTAATCTTTCTTTATTCATTTTTCTACACTAATTTGTAGATGCTTAGTATGAGAAATAAGTGGATGAAAGTATGTATAAGTTGACTCTGGACTGGGATTTTTTTAAATTTAATTTCAAAAGAGTTTGTAATCAACAGATGGCTAAAAGTTGCTATCTGAATTATTTTCTAGGATATTTTAATTGACTCCATTGTATGGAAACCAAGTGTGAATGTTAAAGTGAATTCACTGTTTACCCTTTATCACCCAGTGTCCTTGTACACAAGACTTTCACATCCCTGGGGTCCCTTACCGTGTGGGTCATCTTCATTTAGAAGGCTGGTAACACTGAGTTACCCAGGATCAGGTGTTCCAAAGAGACCCTCAGAAAAAAAAATAGCAAAGAACAAACTCTTTTCCTGTGCAAAAACAGTGATCCTTTTGGAGTGGGGTGGGAATGGGAGTGGGAAAACATTAACTATAGTTGTTTTGTTTCTGAAATTTCATAACCTCAGTAGACACCAGCAAAAACTTCAGCTTCCCCATCCACCACCCCTCTCATCCACAAATGGGACTTAAGCAATATGTATAGAATTTGATTGGGTATACTGGGCATATTGCATAGAGTGATGTGAGAGCAAACCACAGCTTTCCTAAACCCCTACAGAGACCACTTGTTGGTCCTCACTCTTTGATGAAAACTTGCACTGGGGACTGCGCTTGCCTGGGACACACCTTCCCACAGCTCCAAACCATGAAACACGCAACCAGGTAAACCAGGCATTGGGAAAATTTGCACCACTATGTCCCATGAAATGTTTGAGTGTTTAGTTTAGAGATTGCTAACTTGTGCTATTAACCTTTTGACAAGCGTGTAGTATTGTTTGTTTTGGGTTTGTTTTGATTTATAACCATTTAGTAGTCCCCAGCTAGCTACCAGTACAGATTTTACCCCATGGGTAGGATTCTATTGTCAAGCCACATAACAAAGCACACTATTCCAGACATTGCAAATGGAAAATATGAACCAAAAAGGAAATTTACACAGATAAGTTGAATAAACTCTCCATTTTTGATATTTGCATGCTCCCCTATGGACTGGCTGTGGCAATGTAATGCTTGTATAATGTTTTCAAATAAAAAAAAATGCTTTATGAAAGCACCGAGTTCCTGGTTTTCTTGAGTGTTTTTCTGTACTATGACAACCATGGAAGCAGGTCCCATGGGATGCTAGAAATAGCAATGAAAGGAGATATCAGGGTACATGTCAAAATAAAAACCAGAAAGAAAATATTCCCAAATTAGGAAGGCACAATTGGTCTCAGAATTGTAGCTTTGGAAAGCCAAATTGAACACATTTGTAATTTGCAAAATTTATTCCTTATCTAGGCACTTAAGAAATCTCTGGGGCTACAACCTTCCAGCCCACATTTAAAACACATGTATGGCAACATAAATTTACCCCCAAGAAATAGTTTCTCATAAAGAAGAAAATCTATGTATACTGCCCCAGGCACAATGCCAGGCTTAAAGGGTGAGCCTTCATCCAGAGCAGGACATTTATAAAGCAGGACAATTGGTGTTTCTGCTCCAAACAAACAGTGCCTCCACTAACTGCAGGCAACCCCTGAAGTATTTAGAGATGACTGTCTATAAATGTACATGTTCTTATCATTTGTGTTCACACCCAGAGCTCAAAAATTAAAAGAGCTGAAAAGACTATGTATTTAGAATACTTGAAATAATCTAAAATTATTTCAAAAGCAAAGTTTAAAAAACAAAACTGAAACAATTAGAAGTCCTGGAAAGGATTTCCTAAAAAAATAAAACAAAATTTTTCAAGAAAAACATCTATTTTTTTGGTAAAAGAGACACAGTAGCACACCAATCCTTTATAAAGAGTTCCTACATTGTGATCCACTGTGATCTGTATAAGTAAAATGGCATATACTTAACATAAACAATTTGCTTGAAAAATGTCATTTACAGTTTAAAAACATCTTTTCATTGAAAAATGTAAATCTTTCTCTAAAGTGGTTATTTCGTAAACTCTTTGATCAAACATGAAATATAGTTGAACTTCAGTCCAGCCTGTGTCCTAAAATCCAGCAGTTCTAAGTTATTGGGGCCCAAAGAGCACACAGTACATGTATGCATCAGGTTTATTCTATCTCCACAATGCACTGTAATTTCCTTAAGAGAAAGAACTTCCAAGCATTTAGGAGTGCTTGGAAGTTCTTGCAAAGATAGGATAAGGCAACACTTGAATGGTCGTGACTATTAGCATAAAGGAAAAGAAAAATAAATGTAATTCAGCAGGAGAACTATAATTTGTTATGCTGTCTTGATGTTCCATAGGAAAACATATTGTAATGTCTGAAAAAAGAGGATCTGAAATCAGCTCCAGCTTGCCTATCTTCAGGCCTAACCAAACCCCCCTTGCACAGGGCAGGCACTCATACAGCTTTTTTTTTTTTAATGGAATCTAACTTCTAAACCAGAAATAGAAAGTACAAGGGAAAATTTTCTATTACAAAATGTTCCCTTTCTTCTTCCACTATTTAAGTATTTTTTTCTGCAAAATTCCTGTTTTGGGAAAGGAAGAAATCACTGGCCCACTTAAACACACCCTTCTGGGGATTTCTTTTTTACAAACCTTTAAAATGATTAGCCCTTTAGGTTGGCCCTGGGATAAAAGGCAGCAAAGTGAAGTTCTTTTTTTACTTGCAAATAGTGCTTTTAAATTTACAACAATGCTTCTTAATTATGTACACTGGTCTTCCTTTTTTCCTTCCTTTCTTTCTTTTCTTTGCTTTTCTTTTTCCTTTTTCTGGGCTTTTTCTTTCTGCAGGCACAAACAGAAGGCTCACATGGGCCACCTAGGCTGTGTCTCTGACTTTTATTCTCTATGTGGTCAAAAATGTTTAATTCAAAAAAATTATAATACAGCTGGAAAGCCCTGCACCTAGCAGATGGCCTTTCATCGGTGCCTGAAATGACAAGCCATTGTGCGTCACTTTTCAGACAGCCAGACAAGTTGCCTCCAGACGCTACTACAGCCTGATTAACAAGGAAAACTAATGATCAGAGGGAGGAGGTCTCTGGGAATAGACTAAAATTAGGGGCTTCCATCTGGATAGACAAAGGCCTGGTATGGATAAGACTAACGTCTATAAAATGAGCTCGTTCATCAGGAGCTGGGAACAATCCCATAATGCTTGAAGGATAATTTCAGAATGGATAGAGATAAATATTACTTTACACAATGGGGAGTAATACTCCTGAACTCATTATCCCCAAAGTGATGGTACAGGCTAAAAATGTGTTACCTCTCCTGATAGATGGGAGAGCTGCAGGAAGGCATTAAGCAGGCTGTATAATTCACTATCCAATCTGTTAACACTTCCAAGAGTGAAAGCAGGTACTACTCATGATTATGCTGGGCGGTAGACATAGACTCCTGTGTCCCAGGCCAATATGAATGTGTGGCCACCGTGGCTTTAAGAGATACAATGTCAGGTCCCGCACCAGGCAAGTTGGCAGCACAGTGTAAAGCCGCGCCTCCTTGCCTCTAGAGGTCGCTGTCTGAGGTGGAACAGCTGCACGAGGCTGATTGCTTGCCCGTGTGGTGAGGTTGCTCCTGGAGTCTTACTCCTAGAGGTCAGCTCTGGTCTAGGTTCCGGTTTTACTGTTCAGGCCTCCTCCTCGGGAATACCTGTGGCCAGGGGCAGTGAAATGGAAGGAGTTTCAATGGTATGATCTCAAACATCTTTACTGCTCCTTCCTTGCTAAACATAAAAGAACAAGAAAGAAACACTCGAGGTTAAAGGAAGCAGCACAGATAAAATTGTTCAGAAGCAAATCACATTAGAAGCTAACACCCCCATGCATTTCAAGCAACGTTGAGTGACAAATACATGCATGCATTTGTCCTCGCGGGAGGAAGAAATAGATGCCTAGGTGCTGGAAAGCAGATACCTTGTGGCAGTGGATCCAAACCCAGCAGTTCCTCACCCATTTCCTACCATGGCATCCGCAAATGCCATTTCTGGGATTTGGGACTGAAAGGTTGAAATGTTGGGGTAAAAACATTTTTGTGTAAAGTTGGGTCTTATCCATGGCTCCCTTGGCCCTGTCTCTGTCGGCAAGGAGAATTACTTCAAAAGCACCTGAAGAGGTTTGATAGATTTTAAGTAATAGTAATAATTGCAATTTCACAGATGGTTGGCCACTTGCCAATTTCACAGCAAATGAGAAAAGCAATAAAGAAAAACTACTTGTTCTTAAAATGACTACTTTTCTAAATGAAATTACTGAAGAGAGAGGAAATGGGCTAATCACTGGAATAATCAAAACAGTCTCATTATGGGACTCCCTGTGAGCTTTTGTTTGAATTCTCTAATGCAGAATAGAATTTTGGCATTAAATAGGATTTTAAAAGCTAAATAGGTCACACAGGCATACAAATGGTTGAGTGAATCACATAACTGCTTTACATGCCCCAAGATTCTGCCTATCAGGCTGCATTTTAATTAAAAGGAGAATTGTTGGCAGTAGAGGACAGCTTGGGGAGTTGGGTGGTGAAGGTGAAGACTAAGACTTCACTTGGTACTTAGTTTTCTATTCATAATCTTGACTTCCAAACACCAATGAAATTCATTTTCATCTTAGTCAAAAGTGTAGGCACAGAATTTGAGTGTTGGTGGGAACATTGGACATTGTTTCATTCAAAATTTCAAGACATTTCATGACACATCAGTGTGGAGATGGTTTCGTGGAGGGCAAGATATTTAGCCTGGAGAAACTATAGCCTTGTCCACCAAAATTCTATAGGTAACACCACAGTGTATGACTCTCCAGCTGAAGAGGCTGCTCTGTGATCACTAGAAACCAGAGTCAGAGAGCTAATACAGACCCTTCCTGTTAAGAGGATGGGCCTCTTCTTAGGTAGCTTAGATAAGTGTCCCTTAGAAGGGTCCCTATTTCCAACCAACTCTGTAATCTCAAAGAGAAAAGAAAGGAAAAGCACCTGGTACATGCCCCAGGTAAACTGCCTTTGCCCCCCTGGACTGAATCCATCCAGGCAAAGCCGAAAATGGGAAATTGCCTCTTTGTTTCTCCTACTCAACATACAAGTGCAAGAGGGGGTTTTGAAACTAGCATTGCCCAGAGAAGTCCCAGACCAGGCACGCTACTAAAGCAGCAATGGCCCGTCTGTAACTCCTCTATCAGGGTCCAGAGCTCACTGTTCCCACAGGGAGATTTCTTACCTCCACACACCCACTAGCTGTCACGCCTATCTTCGCCAGTGACTTACAGCAGGTCAGTGTGGAAGTGAGGCTGCTGCCCTTGGGAAACAAGTCACCAGCCATTGAATAAGGGCCTCTCTTTGACTCTAAGGTGAAGGAGCTTCTATGTTCCTCCTGACTGTTGGAGCAACATGAAACACTCAGCCAAGTGGCGCTTGTAATGCAAAGATGAGGGGAATGAAAGTCACTGACAAGAGATCAGGATATAGGAGCTTTGACATTTTAAGAGCAAAAGTTGCCTCAGTTTTCCACGAGAGGTGTGTGTTTCTGCTCACGCTGGTGCAAGAGTCTTTTGGGGCCTCAGGTTTCTGTGGGGCCACCACCTGGTACTCTTGGCTTGATGAGTTTGGTTTGATTTTGCTTTTCTCAGTGAGAGTACCCTTCCACTATTTCTTTTGTGGTTTAATTCATGTACTGCTTATGTCTGTAATGCAGTCTCCTTTTTTTTGATTCTTGATTTTGCAAAGAAATAGACTTAGGTACTCATGGGACTTTATTATTACAATTTCGTGATAAAGTGGAGTCTTTCCTTCAGAGTCCAGCATAATTCCCACCTGTTTCTATAGGGAGTATAATAGCACCTGCCTTTTGGCATCATATCATTTCTGTCTATTCCTCCTAAAATGGCTGACCCAGCTTCACAGCAGCATTCCGTATCTGCTACCATCTTCTCGGCTTTCCTAGTTCCTGCTTGATAATTGCTTTTTTGAGCATTTTAAGAAAATGATTTTCTTTACTTTAGAACTTAACTGTATTTGACTTTTTGTCTTTAAAGCCATTTAAGAAAAGAAGAGAACTTCACTGAGAATGAATGATCGATCGTATCTTAGACACTGTTTCTAGGCTGTAT